GATATATAAGATGTAGATGTTGTTAAAATCACTCCCCACAAACTAAGAACACGAAAGCTACACCTTCATACTGTTTTGAAAATTCAGTACAATTGTCAGTACAACTTATTAGCATCCAACTACAATAAAAACTGAATCCGTAGTTAATAATGCCACCAAAGGCATATATTTTTAAAGCATTCAACAACAAACAAAAGCTGTATTTTTAATGGAGTACAACTGGCTGCAATCTTAGAACGATAAATTACTGCTATAAACCACAGCATCCAAACTCTGAGAATTAAAAACGGTTTTGTTACTATCCTTCAAGGAAGTGAGTTGGAAGAAACTGAAGACCAATAAAAACTGCCCCTTTCAGCCTCCAAAAGTTCTTGATATGCACACCAAATTAGGAATGATCAAACAAAGTTGTTACACTGTAAGAGCATTCTATAACTTAATGAAAAAAACCAGTAAAATATTCGAAACACAAAAATTAACAGCCACAACGTGTAGTGCAGCCAAACTGTGGACTATTTTTGTGATTTTTACGCTCAACGGAACTGACTCGTCACCAAAGAACAAAGTATAGAAAAACTGTGTCGTCAGAAACAACAGCGACATTCATTAAAGAACAAATATTGTATAGGACCCGGACAAGAAGCTGATGCGCTTTGTCCCAGTATGATCTCTAATTCGATTATTACAACAGAAAAGCAGTTAGCAGTAACTGCTTCAGAATAACTTAGAACAAGTAGTAATACCTATGTGCAAACTGCACCGCCCATATCCTGCACATTTCATATGGTTTCTTCGGTATAAGTCAAGGAACTTAGATGGAGAAAATTGAAAACCTATGAAGCCTCTCTCCATCAGTCTCCAACAGTCTCTGATATGCAAAATAAATCAAAAAGAAAGAAGAAAAGTTCTTAAACAGCAAGCTTCCTTTTTTTCCCAGTTATATATCACAACTTATTGAGAAAATCAGTGATAAATCTGAAACATAAAAATTGACAACCAAAACAGGTAGCGGGATTTTTGAACATTTTTGATTTCTACGCACAACAGAACTGACTCGTCAACAAACAACATTTAGGGATATTGCATCATCAGCGACACCAGTGGCGTGTACGAAAGAACAGTAAATAATGTGTTGAACCTCTACAAGAAGCCGATTGCCCCGCCCGGGTCACGGAAAAATCTGCGGTTTAACCACTGCAACGAAAAAACCGCTCGGAGTAATTGCTTCGGGACAACTTGGAACAAGTATTAACAGCGCTATATATACCTGTAAAGGATATAGCCGATTTTTTAGCCGATTTTTGTCAAAGCTGCAAATATATCATGTTTTGGTCTCGACACGATTTTGACTATCCGTTCAGCTGCATTTGAAGCACTGTACTGTTCATCAATCTTGCTGTCTGGTAAACAATTTCCATCGCATAGTCGAATTAATATTGTAAGCACCGACGAGTATCAGGTGGTTTACGGTTTTGGCTTTTCATTTCTAATGTTTAATAACATAAAGGACGGAATAGCTGTAGGAAGATTGTTGGTGAATGCAGTTTAAACGGGAACATAATAAGCCCGGAGTTGCGAACTATTGTTTAGAAGAATATATAGGCGTTGCAGAGAATGTGCGATGGTGAACTGAGCAAAAAAATTTAAGCAAATAAATTGCATTTTTGAAGTTATTAGATGAGAAAAGCTTTTACGAGATTAACTAAGCAGTTCAATCAATAAATGACAAAAAAATTTCCCCTAAATGAACACCTCTTTCATGATTGAAATAAAAGCAAAATTCTGGACAAAGTTATTTTTTGATATATTCATTGATAAACATTGTAATAATTCTTAATAGGCGTAAATATTTCTGTATAATTGTGCATTTAAGGTTAATCTACAAAATAAAGTTTTGATAACATCTATTGTAAAACAGGTCATATAAATAACTGTTTGTTGTTTGATGTTGGATAAGATTTGCTTTCACAGATCATTACGAAAAAATTAAGCAGTTTATATTTGCCAATCAGAACAGACAGATATACAATCGCTGAACAACCAACTTTCATTTATTGCTGTGTAGTTGTCGGTAGTGCAAATTAACCATAAAACCAGTAAGTCTTCTGTTCAAAAAAAAAAAAAAAAGTAGTCTTAATTCTTGGTTAGTTGATTAATTTACTTTAAATACCAGTATACCTGCAAAGTTTTCTGCGTTGTTGACGAGAAGCTGTTAAAATTGATTTTTGAAAATGTTAATTTAATTGTCAGCATAAATGATGTCAACAAATCTGTTGGATGAATTATCCTTAAATGAGCTTTTAAGACAATTTCTGAAACTTATTTAGAATGGGCACGAGAAACATTTATGGTAAAAAAACATTTACATATATCTTTGACTTTTAGTCGGCTTGTTCAGTATTACAACTGGTCAGCAGTATTAGAAGGTAGAGGAAAAAAACTAGTTTAGTAATAGCAGTATCGAACTTGTTATTATAATTCAGAACTTTGACATATTGGTATCGTACCAATTCTTTACTATTGTAATTTTTTTGATTGTCTGTTACTCTATTAAGCCTAATGGGTTATTACTAAACTCTAAAACAGTCTCTGAGTTAATAGATTATAGCTATGTTTTTGTCGTATATTAAAATAGGCAGAAAATTTAGACGATCAATATATACAGACAATGAATAGTTTTTTAGAAGATTCAATAAAAGGAGCTGCAAATTGTGTCCATGAATATATATATTTTTTGACTTCTTTTTTTTTT